AGGATGCCATGCAGGCCTTCCAGAAAGGGTCCTGCAAGCCGGTTTTATTTTAGGGGAATGCAGGGAAAGCATCTGCTGCAGGGCTTGTAATATGAGGGCCATTCTTTTTCTAGGAAACAAACAACGCCGCAAGGTGGGTTTCCTGGACACTTTGGAAGCCAGAGGTTCCGAGGGGTCGTGTACCCATATAGGCCTCATGCAAAGGTTATTGGGGGGGAAGGTCTTATAAGGGGTCGTGATGTACGGGTTGTAACGTTGGGCCCCAAAAGTATGTAAAATAATGGCCTTCATGGCTATTATTATGGGTTTAGGGCTATTATTTTACATACTTTGGGGGTTTATAATGAGAGTTTCATATAAGGTTTCAAGATGAAACATAGGTTATGCTGGCGACCAAATGCGATGGAAAACCCACATGCAACGCGCGCAGGTCCTGAAACTTGCTGGGATAATTGACAAGCGGGCCAACGTGCTTCTCAAACGCCTTCTTGATGGCGGACCAACGCATGTAGGGGATCTCGGTCTTGGGGGGCGCTCTGCGAGCAAAGCTGACCTCAACCTTGTTCTCATCCTCAGCAGAAGATGCTTCATCCTCGCACTCCTCATCCGGCTGCTCATCAACCGGAAGCATCCACATCTTCTGATAGGGGCACCACAACCACCAAGCTCCCTCGTACATCTCCCAGGCGTAGTCATCCCAGGCCACCTCGTAGCCATGCTCCTCATTGGCATTCTCAGCACCAACGTCGCCGTTGTCCTTCTGGGTGGACTTGGCAGCCTTTTCACACGTGCCGCCCTGGTCAGCGGCTGGCCGCTTCTTGCTAGCCTTTGAAGCGCGATCCTCTGCAGCCACCTTGTCTGAAGGAGAGGCAGTGGATGAGCTTGCCGTAGGATCAACCATGTCACTCTCGCTCATGTCATCCTCCTCCTCCACAGCCTGCTTCTTGCCCTTGCGACTGCCACGCCCGCGACCGCGCCCTTTTCCACGTCCAGGCTTTGCTTTTGCCTCCGCCTTCTGCTTGTTCTCCCGCTTGATCCCTGACTGGTCCTTGCGGCTGGCCATCACCTGAAGGTCCTTCACATCCAAGCTGGTTTCCTTCACCTCCGCCACTTTCTCAGGAGTCTCCGCGGCCTCCAACGCAGACAAGAGGTTCTTGGGCTCGGGGGTGACAACGGAAGGAGGGCTTAAACTTGGCAACGAAGGAGACACAGCTGCGTTGTCATTCTCGGGGGTCAGGCCGCACGTGGGTTCCACAATAATTTGCGTGTCTAGGGTGTCAGGGTTGATCACGGCTGGGTTGGGCGTGGGGTTCCTAAGCGGAGTCCAGCAACAAAGACCCTTACACAACTAAACCCCCATGCATGCTACACCTGAAAAACAATCAATACGCAAAGTGAAGAAACTCCATGATCCTGAGGGCTGCCAACAACTTAATCTCCTCATCAAGAAGTTGGTCGTCGCTCATGGCCATGAGATTCTCTGGCTCGAACATCACGCTATCATCTTCAGGCTCTGTCGGAGTGATCGGGTTCTCGAAGTCCATCACGGTCCTTGAAGCTGCAGCTGTCGGGGCCACGCGGCGGACGTCCAAACACGAGTCATCATCATCAGACACCTCGGGATACGGGTCCTCGTCTGCTTCCGGGGAGTCATCCTCATCTGGAACTTCAGGGCCACCACCCCAGTGTGCGCAGAGGGTCTCGAAGAATGCCTCTGTGACACTGTCGCGATGCCTGCGACTTGAACCCCGGCGACGAATCGCCAAAGAAAACAATCGACGCAAGCCCCACGCATCAAGATGCGTGACCACTGGGTCCGCCTCTAGCTGCATTTCCTCTCGCCAGCTTCCAAGCTCCTCTCGCAAGATAGGCACGCTTGGGCTTTTGGCCACAGAAATCAAAGGGCACCAGTGCTCGGCCAGCAGCAGCAAAGCCTCGGCGTTATCCTGATGGCCTTCATGCTCGGTATGCCCTTCGTGGCAGCCGAGGGCCATTTGGTCAGGCTATTCGTGCCCCGACCATGGGCCCGCAACACGCCATTGTTCTCCCAAGCCTTGGAGAGCGCCCCAATCTCCCAATGAACAACACACCTGCCATCATCATAGAACCCACTGTCACTCTCCAACCCATCCGCAGCAGCTGGCTCCGGGGAAGGTGAGGGGGCCCTGGCCCGCTTGGTATTTCCCTTTCCCGGCATCTTAGACCTACAAGGACTGCCAGGCTACCGTGAAACTATGAGCCAGCCCTGAGAAATCAAAATCATGACCTAGATCCAATCCGCGTACCCCAGAGCTCCACGCGTGTGCCCAACTGCAGCAGACTGAGTAGCAAGAGCCCCTGAGCTGGGCACGATGAATCAAGATCAGAGCCACACCCAGCCAAACGTCAGTACCTGGGGCAGGCAAAACTTACAAAACTTGTTGTTGGGAATGGCTGTCAAGCATGTAGCACTCAACATTCAGTTGCAAAGTTGGTCTTTTCACTCTTCAGCCCAACAGTAGCGCAAAATGACATGGCCCAAGGTGCCTTATGACATGTGGGATCCCTGGCCGCCTGCTACGAGCTGCTCAGCACAGATTATGTGAGCATGTGTCAACAGTTTTTTTGTGTGCACAAAATGATTTCATAAGGTAATACAAGCCTGCATAACATTTGGGTCCTGTAGATACTATAGCAGTTCTATATGTCTTGACACATCCCCATGAATCACTACCACTATACAAATCCATGCCGCCTGTGACAACAGCTGGCTTTGGGGCCAACTCAGCGTTCATCCTTGTCTTCACCAACCTCTTTGCATATCCCACCCTTGGAGTAGTTCTCGATCACATCCGCAATGCGATCATTCCAGGGCCGTGTGCTGGCAACCTAGGTTACGCGAAAGTGAGAACCTGATGCGAAATCGCTGCGCCACGAAAAAGACAAGGGGCGCTGTCATGACCCAAGGCATGGAGGCACTTCTCCCAAAACTTGTCATTGCGGTCCTGCAGTCCTGTAGCACATTACTCAAGTCGGAATGGAAATTTGCAGGTGCTTTAGCTAATTATGTTAAAGACAACTTTCATGAGGCAGCGGGTCCTGCTTCACGTGCTTTTGAGATTACTGCAGGGTCGGTCACTTTGGCCATTGCCTTCGACATCATGGAGGGTATCATAAACGGTCACCAAGAGCAACTTCTGCTGTGGGCCAGTTTGCGGATCCACAACATGGTTTGAAACCTTGCTGCTCCTAACACATTCAAGAATGCAAAGCTGTCCCTTTCCTAGAATCCTCTCAAGTACTGGCGGCGCACTCCTTGTAGAGCGCATCGATCATCACCATGGCGAGGAGGTTGTTCGCCACATGGGCGCATAGTGTAAAGTCCATTACCGGCGGTGTTTGTATTTAGCATAGGTCTAAACTTGAGGGTTAGATTGGGCATAGCACGGGGAACTTCTCAGGAGGTTTTATATACTAGGTTTAGGCTGACGAAAGCCTTTCATAATCTCCTGTACGCAAGTTCTCATGAATGCTAAATAGCTAAGGGGTACTTTTTGGGGAATAAATTCTCTTTAGGGCTGTAAACATTCTGCATTTGATGAGGATTTTGGATCTTGCAAGCAGCTTTCCTGATTGCGGACAGAGGTAGCCCTAAATCGAACCCCCAAACCCCAAAGTAGCCACAAAGGCTACTTTAAAGAGCTCTTGCCTGAAATGGCTGTTCTTCCAAAAAGGCTATTAATTAGCTATAGTTCGAGGCTGCAGGTAGGCATGATCCGGGCTTACGTTTTAAAAAACAGTTGGGGGGGAGGGCAGCCCTCACCGCTTGCAAGACACCGGGGAATGACAGTTGTTCATGAGGATTCACGATTAGACACTTCATGTTCTTGACGGAAGCGATGAAAAATCATCAAACTGATAAAAACAATGAACAGCATGAAAAGGAAGAATTACAAACATGGATTTAAAGCATGATGGCAACTGATGAGACGTGATGAAAACAGAAAATCATGGAATACGATGAAAATGATTCAACATGATGTAACATGATGAAATATTTTGCAAAATGATGGAAAGCGATGAAGATCATTCAAAAAAATAATGTGAAGATGAAAACAAGAATGGCGAACATCTATTGAAACACATGATGACTGAAGAGCATATCATATGGCAAAATGATGCAACATTATGAAACATGACAAGGAAACGTGATGTAAAAGAAAGATGGAAATGACGAAAACCTGTGAGAGTTGTTAAAAATCATGCTGTGAACAACAACCAATGAAAAGTATGAAAACGCACAAAAATACTGAAACATAATGAAAAGTATGCAAATAATGAAGAAAACAATGAAACAGGAAAAACCATGAAACAATATGAAGAATGATGAAAATCACGAAAACGATAAAAGCATGAAAATCATGAAAACCATGAAAGTGATGAACAAACATGAGAATGATGAAACACATGAAGATGACGAAAAAACAATAATTGAGAATCGTGAAAAAGATGAAAGCCCAGGAAAACGACGAACAAATGCAACATGATTTTTCTATGAAAAATGTGCCGTGTGACAAGAACTACGAAAATTTGATGGAAATGGTCCTAAAAAGTATAATGGGAGTGACATGATAAAAATGATGACAAAGTTGCAGAAAATCAGCAAAGATGATGAAATATGATTAGACATGTTGACAACACTAGAATACGATGAAACATGACGACCTTCCTTCGTTCCTTCCTTCCTCCCTCGCCCTCTGCCTCCTCCTTTGCTCTGTCTTTCGCTGATTCTTCCTTCCTTTCTTCCGTGCTGCCTTGAGTTGTCCTTACTTTTGTTCTGTCGTTCTGGCACCTGAAGAGGATTTTGTGTGTGATTTGTTTTTAGTAGAATGTTTTGTTTTTTATTTATCCTTACTTGATTGTTCTTGTTATTGAACCTTATCTAATGTTTGATCCACAGCCCTTGTGGCAGCGGAGGCAACACCCCAAGCAGCCATAATCTTGTGTACTATTCATACTGCCTGGTTGTTGGTGAAAAGCTCGTACTGGCACGTCATCAGGTTGGAGTTTGCCCAGTCACCTGCAAGAGGAACAGTTCTGTTTGGAGGTTTCTCAGATCCCTACCCTAAAAACGCTAAACCCGAAACCCTCAACCCAACAGTCCCAGACATCTTTATGGTTTGTCAGCACCCCTGAGCCGCATCCCTGAGCTCCCAGCCATCGTCGTTGGACACGGCAAGCACGCCGCGGTTGTTATCAATCTGGGAGTATGGCAATCTAGGGAAGTCGGCTCTTTGAAAAGGCTTCGAGACTGTCGGGACCAGCATGGCTCCTACTCTGCCACAGCGTTGAGACGTACAAATCTGAGAACCAAGCGTATCCACCAGTAGTCTGCAAGAAGACTTTGAGGTCCTGTGCGCAATCATGCATGCCGGCATCATGCGGGCTTCTGCGAGCTAGACTACCTGGACTGGCTTTACGGCACGACTATGAGAGAGGCAGAACGTAATATGCAATGTCATTGCCCTCATGCATGGAGGCCGCTTTCCGGCTGCTTTCTGTGCAACATTTGCGTTTTGCAGCGAACGTTCTCTGGCACGCACAGCATGGCACTGCTCAACCCGAGGCTCTCCATATCTTATATCATGCGTATGTCCGCAAGCTACAAGAAATTCATAAGTTCGGAACCACTCAACACTATAGTCCCCCTTAAGTAGATAGAATATGGAGTATATGGGGATCTTTTTACAAAATTAAGCCATATTCTATCTACTTAAGGGGGACATAGGGGGACTTGCCTGTACCCTTACAATACGCTTTGCACTTTGTGCTGCCGCACCGTCGGCGGTGCCCCAGCGCCGACCACTGAGCAGGCTCCGTAGCCCGTCGGCCTTGAGACGCGATCGCCCGAGGATCCAGAGAAAGTTGTGGAACCAGCAGTAGCGATAATAGGAATACATAGCAAGAATAATAAAGCTAATCACAGCAGGAATGCTAATAGATAATGATAATAATACTAATAAGAATAACAAGATTAATTGATGCACGCTCAACTGCCCCAATGCTCGCATTCAGCCGGGGTTCAATGCTCAGGCTGTTTGTTGAATAATTGACAATTGTCCAGCTGACAACGACTGACATGTCTGGGATCTGCACAGATTGATGGTCAGGGAGGCAGCGTTGTTCCGGCCCACATTCCAGAGCTGAGCGAGGGCAGCACGTATCAGGCCAAGGCCCGGAAAGGGTTCTGATGCTCGCGCAAATTACATGATCAGGTAGGTGCTTCACCTTAAAAAGGTTTGCGGCCCTTTACATGATCAGCCCTTCGTCTATATTGTCTCTGTTGGTCATCACACGTGGGGACCAGGTGTGAAGAAACGAGCAGTGCAGCCAATACTTGCGGGCTGCTACAGCTGCCGCTGACCCCACCCCCCACCAACAAAATCGTCTACATGGCTGCCCAAAGCAGAAGAGACATATCCTTACTTCTAAGGTAAGATGCTAGACTGCGATTGTGTCTAGCGGCTAGCGCGCCTGTAGCGGCATTAACTCCAAAACTACGAAGTCGGTTCTTACGGGCATGCATTAATTGATCACTATCGTATATTCGGGTAGCATCAGGCAACCCTGAGGCCTTCTACTCCAAATTGAAATAATTTGGTTCTTCACTCCAAGGCAGTGCTGAGAGCTGCACCGTCGCACCAAGTTGCAAACGGAAGTACAGCATGTTGCTGGAGTCTCCCTGCAGGACGGTTCGGGTGTTGGCAGACAGACCGACAGACAGACGGACAGACAAACACAACCTTAAACTTACGCTCAACATCTGCCATCGCTTCTCCCAAGACCGGTGTAACGTGCGGCCTTCATAACATGCGCTGCAAGAGCTGAGCCTTGAAGGGCAGGGGTCCGTAACCGGAACGGTCGCTGATGACGATGCGGCCTAGCATGCATGCACCGGATTGTGCAAGAAGAGGTGAGATCGCAAAAACAGCGAGCACTGCAGCACAATGATCTTCTTCAGACTTGTGCTGCAACTGTTGCTTCCATTTTCTTGCCCATTACCCCTATATAACCACTAAATAGTAGTTTCCATGTTCTTTTCAAGTTCCCTATATCATACCCTATATAAAAAAGTAGTTTCCATTTTCCATTATCCCTATATAACCCAACATGTAATGTAGTAGTTTCCAAGTTCTTCTCCATTGTCCCTATATAACCCAACATATAGCATAGTAGTTTCTATTTTCTTTTCCATGTGCCCTACAAATATTAAACCCCTATTGGCCTGTGGTCGCACCGGGCTCGGGGACCTTCATGATCATGCCTGGCAAGCAAGCTAGGGCCGTTGGCCCTTGGGCAGCCCTCACGCACGCTCATGCTACCTTCTTATTATCATTATTACCACTACTACCATTACTATTATTACTATTACTCTTAGTCTTACTCTTACTAATTACTATCCCTATTACTATTACGATTACTATCACTATTACCATTACTATGTAAGCCCTAGGTGAAGTTGCAGCATAGCTTACTTTCAGGGTTCTCCAACACTACTACTATTACTAATACTAATACTATTATTACTATTACTATTACTATTACTATCACTATTACTCCTACTATTACTACTGCTATTGCTACTACTATTACGAGTACTATTTTCATAACTATTAGTATTAGTATTAACTAATAGCTTAGCTTCAGGTTCTCCAACACTATTACTATTACTGTTAGTATTAGCATTACTATTACTATTACTATTACTATTACTATTATTATGAATAGCTCAGCTACAGGTTCTCCGAACCGGCCTGAGGACTGGATGTAGTACGGCGCCGTGTCATCGGGTCGCGTCAGCTGCACGCCGATCTGACCAAACGGAACAGCTCGTCCAAGGGTCTGTTATTCCTTTAAAAGGTTATATAGGGTTGATATAGGGTTTCTATTGGGTTTATATAGGGTTATATAGGGATAATGGAAAATAAAATGGAAACTGTAGGGATTATAGGGCTTATATAGGGATAATGGGGACTTTAAGGGTTTAGAATATTGGGGTTATGTAGGGATGATGGTAAAGAAACTGGAAACTACTACTAATCACTAGGCTGTTAGGGTTCAGGGTTACATTATATAGGGAAAATGGAGAAGAAAATGGAAACTACTATAATGGTTTATGTAGGGATAATGGAAAAGAGCATGGAAACTGCTGTAATCGTTTATTACAGGGATATTGGAAAAGAATATAGAAACTACTACTAATCGTTAGGGTTTAGGGTTATACAGGGATAATGGGAAAAAGGAAATGGAAGACATTACATTATATTAGGATTATATAGGGATAATGGAAAAGAAAATGGAAACTACTACTCGTATAAGGTTTACAGGGTATAGGATTTGGGACACCTCTACAGGGTCCACATTGACCAACTTTAGTATTCTGGATGTTTGTGGTGGACAAGCCAAGCAAGATATGGCGGAATGCCTTTAAGTCATTTTGAGCCCACAAGCACCAAAGCTTAAACCCAAAGCCCTCACCCCCTAAATCCTGAAACTCCGCAACCCTCCCCCCCCCCGACATGACATACAAAGGCTGCACCTATGAGCCCTACTGTTGATACTGACAGTCTTGCATGACCTGAATATATACATATATATACTATAACACCAAAATTTCCGGGGTATAAGATACTTAGGGTCACGCAGGATTTTTAATATCGACCGTAGATTTCACAGCCCGGTGTCAGCCGAAGCGAGCTCTCAGGGCCGGGCACGTGTGGGGAAGAAGCCCTGCATTGGGAGGGTGAGGCCGCTGATCTGCCAAGCAGGAAGGCAGTGCTAGGTTGGAGGTTTCCCAAAATTAGGGGTATCTTTAAAAGGGTTTATAGGGGTATATTGGGATATTATAGGACTATATAGGGTTTAGGGATTAGGGTTTAGGGTTTCCCAAAATTAGGGGGGTCCTTGCAATAAGGACTATAGTAGTTTGGGGTCTATATGGGGTTCCCCCTACTTTGGGAAACTGCCATACTATGACTACTTCCCCACTTTGGGGTCCCATTTTGGCACCATTTGATAATGGGCGCCACAATATAATCCATAACCAAAAATGGCAGGTAATTTTATATCGTTCCATATTACGAAGCACGAGTGTTATCTGCAATAGTATCTATAATAGGCGGGACATACATTACAACGTGGTTGCGACTTGAGCGTTTTATGACCTAGGGTCTAGGGATCAGGATTGAGGTCTTGAACGGACGCCTAGCACCAAAAATATACTGCTTTGGGGGATCACCTGCGCCCGAGAAGACCCGCATATGCCTGCCTCATCGTGATGCTACATTGCGTGCAGCAATTGCGAACTCAGCAGCTAGGAACCAAAGCCACAGTGACTGCAGCATGTTGGTAACGGTAATGTTTTTGAGGAGGAGGCCAACTGTGAAACCAAGAAGTTGGCTGACGACAACATGTGACCATTGTTGAAAACTATTGCCGCCAAAAAGGGGAGTCAAAAGCCACAAGACCCTGCCAGATCCCCAACGAAAACATGCTACAGTGTCCCGATAATCCGCATCAATCGCTAGGATCTTCTGCGGTAACCAGTCTCCCCAAGTGATAACGGCCTTGATGGTGTGAGTCGTCGTCTCATCGATGCTGCTCATCTCTGTGGGGAGGGTGATCTTCACAATGTTCCTAGCAGACGAGCCGGGTCCATGCTTGACTTACAATCATTTACAAGAACTTTTTGGAACGCTTCAACTTGTTCCTTGGATCTGGGTGTAGCAAAACAAGCGCATAACTACTGTAACTTGCACATCTTCCTCACCTGGGAGTCTGTCCAACTCTGCAAATTAGGAAGCTAATACCGGGTTTCGGGCTAAAATGGAACTTTGTAAGTACAGGGTTCCGTATTATGAGCCCCACTTCTTAAAGTCTTTTGGATAACATGTTGCCCCCTGGGAAATTGTACAGGGGTGCTTGATGCATCCTGGCTCTCAGAGCTTTCGTGGCTGCTGACTCGCCTCCGTTCATACCAAAGCGCAAGAAGCCTCAGCAATGTGAGAAAAGGGAATAGCCTCGTTCAGCTACACAGAAGCAACCCACCCACCTGCGCACCTCTCGAAACTAGAGGCAAAAGAACGGCACAGGACTTCCATACATCAAGCCCAAGCATGCCTTAAACATCCACCTTTTCCGGTCGCCCTCCCAAGGCCCCTAACCCCCACCCCAACACTTGACGTGCTCAAACGGCTTAAACACCCACCCTTGCAGACCTCCGGCCACTTCCAGCAACCACCTCCTCTGAGTCGCAGCCAACAAGGCCATTGCCTGGGCTTCAGCTGTTGCAGGATTTTGGGGTAAGGTCTTGGGGGAGGGCTTGAAGGGGGCTGCGGCATGGGGAGTATGGGGTCTGCGGATTCAGGGTT